AAAAATATTATAGATGAACCTGATTATACAGAATTCATAATTATATAGAACACATAATTCTAAAACATAATACACACTTTCTTCAGTGTATATTGATCACATCTTTCTCCTGTGAGTGGTAGCTGTGAACCACTGGTATTTTGTTTAGCAGCTGAGCATTTTAACTACTATGCGACCAGGGCTCATCAATGCATCCTAAGAGGTTGGAATTACCCTGAAACTAAAAGACGAATGAAAGCATGATTAGAAAAGAAATCACAGACCAATATTTCTTGAAGGCATAGATGAAAAAAATTCCTCAACAAAATACTGTGTTGTTACTGTTAAGTGCTGTTGAGGTGGTTCTGACTCATAATGATCTTATATAGGGTTTCCAAAGACAGCTTGGTGGTTATGGTTAGTCATCCAGTACTTATCCTACAGTGCCACACCATGACTCTCAACAAAATACTAGCAAGCCAAATGTAAAGTCATATATCATGACCAAATAGGATTTATCCAGAAGTAAATGGATGGATGAATATACCAAAATCACTCAAATCTACTATACAACTAGAAAAAAGAGTAAAAACATATCAAGATAATTGGTGCATATAATACATTTGACAAAACTGATACCCTTTCATTATACATAGCATTCAGAAAACATAGCTTAAGAGGACAATCTCTCAACATTTATAAAAGCATTTATTAAAATACCTACATATAAGATCTATAAGTTGTTTCTGAATATATATAATATCATGAACAGAACAAAATTTCCACTTTTATTATTATTGAATATTGGACTGGTAATTCTAGTAGAACAATTAGGCAGGAAAAACATATAAAAAGCATCCACACTGGAATGAAAGAAATAAAGCTATCTCTATTCAACAACAACTTACTTAGAAAACTCCAAACTGTTCACAAGAAAGCTGTTAGGTCTATTGAACAAATTTAGCAAATTTGTAGGTTATAATATCAGTACACAAAATCAGCTGTGCTTCTATACACAGCCAATGAGCAATTAAGCAAAAACAATCATTTTTACATAGCAGCTGAAATAATAAAATTCCTAGAAATAAATTAAAAAAAAAGGATTTAAAATTTTGTGCTTTGCTGTCCAGTGTGGATCCTACAGCACACCAGGAGATATGAAAAATGGCAATAAAGGGAGAGATGGAGTCTGTACTTTATTAAGTAGACTGTAGCAAAACAAATTAATTTTAAAAGGTGTATAGAAATAAATGGAGAGTCCTGGCTTGGCACTTTAGGGTAAACACTGGACTGCTAACCACACATTCAGCACTGGCGCTGTGGGTTAATACACTGGACTACATAGTTGCTTTGAACTGCAAGGCGGGCAGTTCAAGCATACATACCAGCTGCTCCTCTGAAACCCTATACAGGGTCACTATGGGTCAAAACTGACTTGATGGTACTTAATAACAACAAAGACATTAAGCACGCTTAGAAACCCTACAGGGTTGCTATGAATCAGAACTGACCTGATAGCATTAAACAATAACAGCAATAAGAAAGAAATGGCAATCTTAAATATTTGTAACTTTCACTGTTTTCCATATATCTGCTGATGTCTAATGCCGCACAGAGCACAACACTGAACAGACTTGATTCCTGCATCATGTCCACATCAAGCTCAGATGCAGCACATATTGAGGACAATCATTTTAGAGAAAACTAACTGACCCGTCCAAATTTCTGCCCACCCTGTCCAGTCTTACCCAGAGCAGAGGTTCCTTGGAACTGGAAACAGATCTGTTTTGTTGAGAAAGTCCTAAGAGAGCTTGCCTTCTCTCCCTTTATTCCGACTTCAGTTGTATTGGTTTCTGTTTCTTTTCTCTTTCACTGGAAATTTAACTTTTATTGTTTCTTGCCAGAGTTTCGTTTGAGCTCTTATGATTAAAAATAAATAAAAATAGAACACCCTCTGTAAACAACTAGGCTAATATGAAACTGAAAGTACAGTGTGCACAACAGTGACTCAACAACCATCTAAGGAAGTGCAGAAACCCAGCCTAGTAGGTATGTTCATGGACTTCACAGTATTTCTCCATCGTTTCTGTTGTTCCTACTTGCCTCTGGGTCTGTTCTGATTCATAGTGACCCTATGTGTGTAGAATAGAATTGCTCTGTAGCATTTTCAAGGCTGTGACGTTTCAAAGGGAAATACCCAGGTCTGCCTCCCAAGTATCCTCTGGGTGGGTTCTACCTACCAACCTTTTACTGAGTGGTTAGTCATTTAATTTTTTGCTCCATTTCTCAACTAGAAACTCAATATTTTATTATTGGAAAAGATCATAGAGGCTGTTTGTAGTTAAAATGAAAGTCCAACAGAATTGTTTTAACTGTAGTGACATTTTCCTCAGGTTTGGGGGGCAGTTACAGAATATTGGATGAAAAGCATTGAATACTATTCTAAGTCCAATTTCCTGGAATATTGGATACATTCGCAATGGACTTGGTTGACCATGCATAGTGGTGGTGGCGGTGGTTGTGTGCTGTAGAGTTTGTTTGACTCAGACAAAAATCTATATAGGGTTTCCAAAGCTGTTTATTTTTATGGGAGCAGAAAGCGTCAACTGTCTTTCATGTAGCAGCCAGTGGATTTGAACTGCTGACCTTACTCATAACCCAGTATGCTACCAGAGCTCCTTAACCATGTTTAGTAATTGTTGTTAAGTGCTGTCAAGTTGGTTTCCACTCTTAGCAACCCTGTATAGTATTTCTGAGGAGCAGTTGGTGGGTTTGAAATGCCGACCTTGTTGTTTGCAGTCCAATGATCAATCCTATAGCATCACATTAGGAGTCCAACCATGTATATAGTGTTGTTTTATTGTTGTTAAATGCTATAGAGTCAGTTCTGACCCATAGCAACCCTGAATAGGGTATTCAAGAAGCAGCTGGTGAGCTTGAACTGTTGGCCTTGTGGTTCAAACCGACTTTGCAGTTCAGTGCATTGACCCACATTGCCACACCAAGACTCCATGTATATAGCAACACTGTAAATGTCCCGAGGAAATGGCTGTGCATTGTATACTTACAAATTGCCAACTTCTAAACCAGGCCTTGGAACTGAGCAGTTAATAAGTAATAATAGCAAGGCTAGCTCCTATTTATGACACACTTGTTTCAAGTCTAGTGATAATTCCTTTGCATTGATTCTTTCATCTAATTCTCACCACAAATACTGTTACCACAATGTTATGGGGAGATAGCTTTTTGAGATTACAGAGCTACTGAAAAAGGTTTGAAATTAAGAAGTTTTGCTGAACCCACAGTACCAAACACCCGTTATCATAAAATAGATCCCGATTCATCGCGAACCCATAGGCTAGAGTAGAACTTCCCTATGCAGTCTTGGTGTGGCGCTGTGAGTTAATGCACTGGACTGCAAAGTCAGTTTAAACTCAAAAGCTTTTCCTTGGAAAAACTACACAGGGTCGCTGTAAGTCAGAATCTACTTGACTGCACTCAACAACATAGTGTTTCCAAGGCTAAAAGCTTAATGGAAGACATGTGCTACTTCTTTTTTCCTTGAGGCAGGTGTTTTCACACTGCCAACCTTTTGTTTAGCAATCTATCGCTTTAATAAACACTGTATTTCCAGGGCTCAACCACTTCACTAAAATATCAGTTTTTGTTGAGTGCACAATAGCAAAATGTTTTCTATTTATTGATTGCTTTCTAAAGTTAGAGTCTTTACATATTTTATATAAACCTCAAGATAATCTTTCACCATTGGGGCATTTATTATGCCCACTTTTCAAGGAGGAAAAAGAGTCGGAGAGCGATAGCTTGTAATACATCCAATGCAATTGAACTGCACCAAGTTACCCAGACATTGTGTGGGATTAAAACTTAAAAATCCATTTGATTAAAGTGACAGTTTTTCCACTCTGCCCTATATCTGAAAGGAAAAAGAGAAATAAAGAACAAGTGTGTGTGTGTGTGTGTGTGTGTGTGTGTGTGTGTGTGAGTGAGAGAGAGTGGGGCGTGAGAAAAAGAGCACAAGAGTGAAAGGGGAAGATGGTTACTTATAACATTAAGTTCCTATCTTCTTTTAGCATATGTGCAGCTGTATATTTTCCTTTAACATTGATTTAATTGCACCTTGCAAATTTAATATACAGCAATTTCACTTTCATTTAATTAAAAAGATTTTCTATTTCTATTTTTTCTTAATTTGAACCATAGTTATTTAAAAGCATACTCATATTTATTAATTTTTATACTTATGCCAAATTTCTAATTACCTTGATTCCTAACATTGTATTTGATCTCTGGCCTTTGAAATTTGTTGACTTATTTTATACTCTAACATATGTTGTTGTTGTTGTTGTTGTTATATGCTGTGGAGTCGGTTCTGACTCATAGCAACCCAGTACAGGGTTTCTGAGGCTGTAAATCTTTATAGGAGCAGAAAGCCTCATCTTTCTCCCATGGAACAGCTGATAGTTTCGAACTGCTGACCGTGAGATTAGCAGCCCAATTCGTAACCACTATGCTACCAGAGCTCCTTACCCTAACATACAGTCAGTTTAAAAATAATTTGTGTGTTTACTTGAAATATGTACTCTGCAGTCCTTTAGTTGTTGTTGTTAGTCATGTTGCTCATGATTTGTTTCAATGTGTAGATCCTTTTTGTGTGTGTATGTGTAGAGTTTTTTTTTTTTTGTGTGTGTGTATGTGTTTAATTGATGTATTCATTGTCTGCTCTAGCAATGAGACTCTCATGGTAAAATCTGCTATGATTGTGACTTTGTCTTTTTCTTCTAGTGTATCTATCAGTTTTTGCCTTTTGTAAATTTGAAGTCGTATGGTTGCACACACAAAATTAAAAATGTATTTTTATGGAAAATTGAAACATTTATCATTTCTGCTAGTTATGTTTTTGTCCTTAAAGTCTATTTTGCCTGATATTAATATAGCTAACCAGCTTAATAAAAACTTTAGTATTTATATCCTTTTATTTTTCAATGACATAAAGTTTAGTTTTATTATGTTATTCATTCTGACAATGTTTGCCTCTTCCGCAGCACTTATACCAGTGTTGTCTAGTAGAGACATAAGTCAGAGGTAGCAATATGGCAGACTAGGCACTAATGCAATACAGACCCTCTACAACAAAGATTTGTTGTTGTTGTTAAGTGCCGTTGAGTTGGTTACTACTCATAACGAACTTGTATAGGTTTTCTGATGAGCGGTTGGGGAGCTTGAATCATTGATCTTGTGGTTCAAACTGAGGTTGCAGTCCAGCATGTTAACCTACAGTGCCACACCAGGACTCCACAACAAAGATAAGGAAAACCAAAGGAAACAGATGCAAGTGACAGTCCTAGAATCCTGAGCTTTAGATGAAGGACTAAAGACGTGGAGTGAATGCTTATTAGGAGAGGAAGCTGAACAGACACAGCAAAAAAGCCAACCAAACAACAATAACAAAATAGCAGATTGGTGACTCATGCTGGCTGACCAGATACACTGTAGCAATCTTAATTTTTCTGAGTGGCTTCAGAGATAAGACAGTGTATAGATATTGCAGAAAC